TGAAGTAAGAGGAAGAAGTTAAAAATCAAATATTTTACGTGAATTTTATTGTGAATGAACTGCAATGCATCTGCCAGTTTCAAGTCCCACATAGCGGCTTTTCTCAATAGGAGGGTACATATATATCGAACTTTCGATTAATTCATACGCCCAGCAATTTTGGAACATCATCGATTTAAGCTCATACTGAATCCAAGAAAGATGCAATAACTGTTCACAAATTAAAAAAATAAATAGCTGTCTATTGGCAATTAAGAAATTCTTTCCAATTTTCGCATCACTCAAAAAACTAACACATGCTTGTTGGAATAATTTAACTCATTAAAGACAAATAGCGCCTGAGGCCCATTATGAGAAACGCCTCAAGAATTAACGTTTGTTTTGCTCACAAGCTGAGAGAAATGCCTTCTTTTTACATCAATGAAAAATTTTAAAGTCTCTATTTGAAGATTTTTTGAAATTTAATAAAATAGTAACGATCAAAATATAGATGATATTGCTACCAATTCTTAGCGCGGTAAATGTACACATAGGCAATTGCGGTTTTTTGTGCAGTTGCCAACATATAAGATGCCAGGCACTTGCGAACACATTTTATTCAAGCGTTTGAGTCCGCGGCACGGGCCTATCGATCACTTTGTCACACTTACCAGTGTTCTGTAATGGCTCAATTTAAGTGCCTGTGCAGACACCAATCAATGGTCAGTCTCTTATTCTTGTACCTGTTGTAAAGTATACATGTGGTCTACCCTATGAAAGTGGTTTCGAATTAGTGGAAAGGTCAAATTTGCCAGTGTCTATCAGACTTCTATTTCCACAAACAAAACCCAGCGTCTCCATGACTGGGTGACCTCGTCTTCTTACAGCAGTCTTTTCTCGAAAATGAATTTCCTGAGTTTGAAAATTTTTTTGCCAATGATCATGTTTCCTGTTACCTTTGGGACATTTACATTGGTCACATCACCATTTGAATTGTGCATTTAAGGTTAAGTAATTGGTAATCCCATAGTTACTAAGATTTAATTTGAAAAAAAGGGCCCATCCGTGTAGGGTTGAAATTTGAGGGGAGAGCCAAGTGGGTGTGCGATAGACTTACCTCCACGTGGTGCACCCTGGAAATATGCCTTCACTATCAACATCTTATTTGGAAGCGGAGGGGTGTGTGCGATAGACTTACCTCCACGTGGTGCACCCTGGACAGCGTGCGATAGACTTACCTCCACGTGGTGCATCCTGGGCAACATACACTCATACGGCAAAAGTCTATTAACCGTCATTTGACTTCTGACTTCAAACTACCATCACCCACTGTTTGTCATGTTCAACTACTATCACCGTACTCATCTTACCTTTTAATACCTTTATGTCTGTCTCATTTATATCTTTGACAAACTTCTGTCCCCCTCCCCCTCTCTACCTTTTTTTCATTTTGATGTTCCTTCCACTCTGTGAAGCCTGAAGCCAATTAAAGGCCTAATGATAACTACCAAAACGCCTGCCATTTGATATAAATAAATAAACTTTGAAAAAAGGTAATATATTAAAAAGACTCTTACCCATCTCATACACTTGCTTCTGAATGTAAGAAGATAAAAGAAGATTCAAAGAGGTAGAAACCATCTTGCAAGTAAACCAAATGTTAAGGCTCGAAATATTGCAGACAGGTTAAATATTAATCATATCGTCAACTCAGTCTTAAGCACCATTTTTATTCTTATTTCATATGCTAAGATGTCGTTCCAGTAAATATTCTTTCTTTGATAATAGGTAGACAATTGGATTATATTTAATCAGCTGACTGATAAATATCTGCTTTAGCCTATTTCTTCTTTTCAAATATTTGCATATTGAAAGAAGCGGTGAAATAATTCATTTTAAACTCACAATGCAACGGAAGATATAAGTGACGCCTTGAAGGAGTTTCTTGGATGTCTGCTAATTGGTTCAGGCATGGAAACCTCACAAAGGTAGTCGCTTCCTTTAAACCACTGACTCATTGAATGTCCATTTAGATTGATAGTATCTGACATAAGCACAAGTTTAAAGGGTTTTTAAATCATGTCATGCTCTGTAGAAATCGATTTTACTTGCTAAACTCAAAATGAGACTACTAAATTAAGATCAAATATGAGTGGGTATTAAGTGGTGCAATTTGATAGGTTGGGTGAATTTTATTAAAGTTAAAAGTATCAATATGCTAAAATTCAGTATTTGTAAACATGGGAAGTTTTGTTAAAGTGACAGATAACGATTTTGCCAATATTTAAGTCCATTAATTCAATTCTGAGGTAATCTTACACTTGAAAATAAAGAGTTCATACAATGGGACAATTTCCTCCACCTAAAGACTGAGTACTTTGAGTCTTTATGAAGGGTAGAGGAGAGGCATAAAGTAAGTCCGGAAACAGTCAATAGTTCTTGAGTATGCAGATTGTACGTTTGCTTGCTGTGATTAATTTACCGATGATTTTCCACCCCACACTTCACTGCAAGGAATTTTTGATAGGAGATTTGATGGAGCCAATTAAATGCCACCCTACCCTACAACCTTAATCTGGTGAATAATAAAAAGCTAAAATTACATTTTGTAAAGTGAAATAGCCAAAATTCATTATAATTCTCACTGTTTTACTAATCTCCACGCGTCAAAATTCAATTTTTCCCATTCCTGAAAGTTTGCAAATCTATAATGGCTTGGTTAGCATATCCCCACCTACCTTTTTGTATAGGATTCTTCTTCAGACGGACCATTTTCCTAACAAACTGACAGCCTTCCTCTGCAGGAACGCATAAATCCATTAATTCAATGACAAATTCGCATTGGTTCCTTACCTCTTAGTTATTGTCATGGAGATTATACATTCTAAAAGTACACCTACGTTAGCTGACAGTGCTGGAAAAGGTATCGACGTTTGTGCGGTAAATGCCATAATGAAATCGTATTCTAACAGCCACCCTCATTGATTGCTTTCTTTTGTGACAGGCTATTAAAAAAAATTACTGTTACAATGTCTAATTGTATCACTCATATCAATTTGTTTAAATAGCTCGACTTCCAAATTTATGAATTTCATAAATTGGCCAGAAAGTGTTAATTAGGTCAAGGTCAATTATTTTGATTTACACGATGATTAAGGCCTTTCCATAGTGTTGTAAAACTTCTCGTGTTCTTTTTAATGTTAAGTTTTCTGTGAAAAGAATTAACATGAACGTGATGCCTTTCTGTGTGAATATTTCGTAGTCGGTGCTGTACTTCAAATAGGTCTTTGGGAATTGAAGCTAGATTTATGAATAAGTTAAGAACTGCAAAGTCGATAATTTTATGACCTTTAAACCACGCATAACATGATGGTTAGTTGGAAATTCGACTCACACCTTCAATTCCTGCCTTTTCAGCAGCTTCTTTAAGGAATCAAAGAGCCTTGCATTTCACAGGAGAGCACTCGATAGTTGCAGTATTTCTGCTCCTGACTCACCGTTCGGTCTCCTTTGTACTGTCTGGCTACTGACTCACACATCTGCCTTTGCTGTCAGGACCTCATCAACGAGCAAATGATGCGAATGCTGCCTGTTACCCCCCCCCCCCTCTCCCCCAACCCAAGTAAGCATTTCTCAGTACTGACGTCTACCTCTCTCCCCGTCCCCTCTATTAAAGCGATTTTACTTGGAATTTTGGTCACTTTAGTGATGAGCACGCTATCTCGTCCATCCAACGTCCCACATTACTTCACTTTTCATTTCCTGGGTAACGCATTGGTACCAGTAACAATTATCACCTCCGTCCGAATACTTTATTATTAATAAGTAAATGTGGGATTGCGTAGAAATGAATCAATTTTAAGTAAATAAATAAAATTAAAATTGCTTCTATAATTTTTATTTGGTGAATATATTCATAGATGTAAAATTGGTTTATACCAAGCCGCTAAATGTCTATCTCCAATTTGGACGATTTCCTCGAAGTGCACATGGCGCCAATGTGAAAACATAAATTACTCCTCAGTCTCCGGAATCGTGGCGCATAATTTAAAGTGGTCACTGAAATCTCACAGGATTTCTTTTTTTTATTTCATATATGTTGCATTTCGCAAATAGAACTCGTTGAAACTTATAATTCATACATGTTTTAAACACCATTTCATTAATGAAATAGCAGAACTAAACAATGCTTACTGATGGCCAGGACACGGCACTTTTATTAGAGCATTTGGTCTTATTTGTTTTAGGATTTGAATGAGACACTATTACTACTGATTAATAACCGACAAGCTAGTAATGAATAGTTCTACTTAATCTGAAATAAGTAGCGGTTCTTTCTAGAAAAAACCAGAGGTGTGACAGTAAGGTGCTTATCCAAATGCAAAAATACATTGAAAGGTAAAAAACTGGACTCTCCTTTTACCTTTAACGCCCGAATTATTTTCTGGAAAGTGTACCAAACCGCACTCACGCTTATCTCACAGCTGACTGATCCCGCCAATGGGATCACATGGCCATGTCTTTCGAAGTTCGATGTCCTCTATAACACCGTCACACGGACATTTGATTGAGTAATTTACACACATAATACCTTATCATTCTGCCAGAGTAAGTACGTTATCCATCTATTCTCTCATGTTTCACCTTGATCTCAATTTTGTCAATACCACAAATGCTATCAAAATCGGCACACCAACCACTTGCAGTCTTCCTCTGCAGAAATCGTATTAGCAGGCAGGCTGCCTTCGAAGTCAATCAACCTACGGACTAACTACCACACTTCCCACATTTCCTCCTACCATCTTCTCATCCACCTTCCTCCACTCAGCACCACTCGCAACCATTCTCGATCTGCCAACAAGACGTAGATGGCGTTGACTAATGACTACAAAGTAACCTATATTACAGTTCCAAACACATCGACATCTCAGAAAAGAATATTTTAGGGAGGAGAGAGGGAAAAATCACCAGATATATTGATAAGTCAATCATAAATTCAATAAAATAGGAATTTTGTTAATCTAGTCATCCTCGGTTGTTCTCCAGCACAGGAAAAGACGACGAAGGCGAGTACACAGTCTCTTGAATAACCGACGACGTGCAGAGGGCGATGAAGTGGCACAAACAGCATCTAATTGAGGAAAACGAAAAAGCCATTCATAAGAAATCTCATACAGCGTTTCCGATCTATCACTCATTCTTAAACAATTAAACACAAAGCAAACCATCGTACCTTCGGAATCCACAATGGAGAGATGTGGAGAATTGGAGGTGGGCTCATCCTCTTCCACTGACTCACACGAACAATTCAGAAGGAAAGGAGACAGTGCCGATTCAATAGAATCCGGCTTCTCCGGTTGCATTCCATATTCCAATCTATCAACACTCATCCTTTTGATTTCAAATGTTCCTCTCAGGTCTCTGCCTCTAGACTCGATCTCTTCCACCTTCTCCTCCACCTCCTCTCCTGCTCCTTCTTCTTCTTCTTCTTCTTCTGCTACCCACTCATCACCACTTTCTTCGGACATCGTTCCACGTGTAGTTACTTCGTCAGCAAGAACGTATTCACTCTCCGAGTTAATTACTTCCTCGTTCAACCAAGGAAAATCTGAAATTAAACAGTTCCCAGATCAATACGTTTGCCACCCCATGACTGATGAATCTATTGGCACTTAGAAAGTCATTATAAAGAACTGGATTACACTACCTCAATCAGCAGATTGATTGAGATTGAGACAATATCTGCTTTTCAAGCTTATGTTGAGAAGCCTGTTGGTCAATTTTTTACCTAAAGAATGCAATTTATCCCTAACTACCTCTTGTTGGACTGCGATATTTTCCCAACTCATTTACTTATATACGTCCTTAAGTATTCATCAAAGCAATAGATTCCATCTCCATGAGTTGTGCAAGTATCCTCTTAACTAGATCTTAACACTCACCACACATCCTCCTTGGTCCTCTTCTCGTCACAGAAATGGTAGGCAGGGAGTCGGACTTTGTTGGTGGTGGAGGGGGTTGTGAGAGTATCTCTGCCATTGAAGGAATTGCCTCTTCATTCTTTGTCTCGCTCACACTTCCTCCCTCTGATTTCAGTTGACTGTTTTCCATGTGTTCTATGAAGAAATCAGGATAGAGAGGTGCTTTTATTGATGCTCGTAAATATTAACGCGAAATCTCAATTCTTCTGGTATCATTTTATCAACCTCATCGATATCCCTTCCTCTCTCCCCCTCCCTCTCTTTCACTCACATCTTCTACCTCAATCATCCAAACTTGAACTTGGTAAAGCCTTCTGATCCCTTCAAAAACCTAACCATAAACGAAGTTTGGTACCGAGGTGTGCCAAATGATGAATGCAAGTTCTATCAAGAATTTTCACTGCCAAACATCACTCATGACTCTGAGCCAAAACAAAATCTCCTGAATTCAACCACCTAAAGAAGGTACTTCGAAGTGCACCTTTAGTTGACAAGCGTTACATGACGTCGACATTAAACCACCTTCACCAATCACATGCCTGATTCATCAAGCCCAACCAACCATCAAACCATCTTCCTCCCACACCTCCATTTACCCTCTATCCACATGCCTTTCCTCTAAAAGTACGATTTCAACTATCGATTCAACTCAAATGGTCCAATTCAAAACAGTGAACTAACTATAACACCACGAAACACGAATTTAACAGAACACACACACACACACACACACACACACGAGAATGCAATGGGAATCTAACTGCTTATGCCCAGATCAAAAGCACCTCCTGCAGTGTTTCACCCTTGAATCATTTCAAAATACGTTTTCGCTTAAGATATCTAACGAAAGCTATGTTTGATCGGTTCTCACTCATTGAATCCGTCCTGCACTTTCATTGCCAAACACACCATTTGAAAGTTAGACACCACTCAGGTGGAAATAGCCAATACGCGCAACATACTGCAATTCATACCTTGTCTACAGCTCTTCCACTCTCCACACGTTCGAATGCATTTGAAAGTGGGACGCTCGTTTAGAGGAGAGGAGAGGGGGAGAGATGAGAGGAGAGGAGAGGAGAAAGAGAGGAGAAGCAAGAAAGGCAATAAAGACAATAACGACAACAAAGGCAATAAGTGCAAGAAATGCATAAAAGGACAGAATGACAAGAAAGATGGAAAGATACCATGGACGAGTGGAGGTGCTCTCCTTGGAAGAGACCAAGCAAGATGTGGAATGCTTCTGGTTACTTCGAGGAAGTCGGAAGAAGGCTTCTCAAGAGGCATCATCAAGTTGGAAGGACTTGTCGCATTCTGAAAGTGAGAAAGGTAAAGGTAGTATAAGTGTGGGTTGGAAAGTTTTAATTGGGGCAGTAAGTCGTGGAAGGGAGCGTTATAGAGCTTCAGCTCTCGAAGCAGAAGCAAATACGCATGAAGAGAACCAGTTGGAAAAGAGAACATTTCAGTCAAAAGTCAGCGAAATTATGAAGTTTGCATTTTGCTAATTAACGTGCATTGATCTCCTTATTATAAAATCAATAATTCCCTTAATTGTTGACAACACGTGCGCGTGAGCTAAAATACACGAGATATTTTGCTAACTCTGAGAATATTTAAATAAATATGCAATAATTAATGTGTTTTGACCTATTCAAGTCTTTGACCAAAACGTCGCACTTCTGTAATGATATTTTTAGTGTTACTTAATGATCCCCATTTAAATCCATGCATCTCCAGCATTTCAGTTCTCGGGACTTTCAGATATCCACAGAGAGTAGCCAAGAAACTCGTTTCATTGTCAATAGTTCACAAGAGGCAACATTTGGACACTTTTCATAAAGGCGTGTTGGTGACTACTTTTGGAGGGACATCTGTGAATGCGAAATCAATTCTAGAGTATTTGGTCAAGGAGATGGAAATGCTTTTCTCGCACACTTTGTTCTCTTCATTACTGCTTAAAATTGTGAAACAAAGAAATCTCATACACACTCTGACTGCCTCGAAGGTGTGGTCGTGTCACTTCGCGTGTGGAGTAAGTGCGTCGTGAACACTGATACCACCCACTCAATAGTCAATCAATAGTCCTTGATTGGTTTGACAAACCCTCCATTGTAATAAACTGTCTATGAACCCTGTCTGTAATACTCTTCCCAAATAAACGTATACCACGTCATACGTCTGTTTCCTTGGTACCTTTCCAATCTAGGAGAACGTACCATAGCGATTAGTGAGCGAAAGTCAAGGCTTTGTAGTGTAGTAATACACTACAAAATGGGAAAAATCTCATTCAACATGCCTTAGTGCACATTGGACATGAACTGATAACAGTGTCGTTTGATTCTCCTTCTTTCAAACAATGAAGAATAAAATGTTATTGAAGCTCAAATTCGCCCACTTGGAATATTCTCAGTTAGTATTGAAGTGATGGTTAAAGTGGTCACGGTAAAACATGCTTCACGAACTGCAGTTTATCCATGTCAATTTAAGAATGCAGGAAATTATGCTTCAAATGCCTTATTCTCTTTTTGATGATCTGAGTTTTCCTTCTAGTTTTAAAATATATTTTGAAATGCCTAATGCAACAAATCACTTTGATTATGTTCCTGTCACAGATTGTTCGATATTCCTTTAAAATAACATTATTAACGCTATCTGGGGTAAGAATTGTGATGAGATTTTAGCTAACCCAACGTCTCCGAATTCCGCCAATTAAATTACTATTTTTAAAAATGATATGATTGCTACTGGATCAAATTGGACTAAACCACCTCAATGGCCGATCAACAAATTTGACACAATTTGATGTGAAATAAAAGTGAAACGGAACATGTACAACAACTCGGTTTCTAAATTCATTCGTTTAGCTACTTTTTTATAAAGTATTCAAGTCTGTTTGACAATAACTAAGTAAAATAATACCATTCGTGTTCCCAATTTTTTTTAAAAATATATTACTTCTTCAGCTTAAGTTAAATTTTATGCCATTATCAGTAGAAATCAAGCGAACTCTGTGAAAGTTGATAAAATATGGAAAGTTTGAGTGGAAATATTAGTGAACAGTTTTAATCATGAGGCTAGATGATGCTCAACTGTTTGATCGATCCATTATCAATTCTATTTACGTCTATTAGCTTCACTGGAGGCCTTTCCGTAGGCAATCATTTACACTCGATTGGGACGTAATTGGCACAAGATTTGGAGTTCCTGATACTTCTTCAGTACTAACTGTGCTACACTATAATCATAAAATCTCTTAAAGGTATACGACCAAGGTCCAGTGGCAGAAAGGTGACTCAGTAGGTTTATTTAAGTGAGGCATAAAATGTATGTGTTTGAAGGGCCTATTTCGTCTAGCTTTTACGCATAAAGAAAGTGAATTTCAAGGACATGTAATTTGATTGAAGACAGCATTATATATTTTTACCCGTTCAGGAGATTACAGAATAGTATATCACGTTACTGGAACTTATTTGAGTAAAGTTAATTGCCCGTCAGGTATACTTCAAGGAGCGCTTATGTTATCTGAACACACGTATTTTTAACTACCTGTCGAAAGTGTCTAAGGACTCCTGTTTTTTACAGTCCTGGTTACCACATCATCATACCTTGTCGACTGCTAGTGGGATGCTGAAAGGATGCAAATCAGGCAGCTGAATGATAAAAGTTAGAGTTCTTTTAAGTAGATGGAATTCAATCAATTTCACATATGGAGGGCACAATTAGATATATCCGATTTATTTTCTGCTGAATCCCAATTAATGTGCATAATAAATAATATATATGCAGATAGTGAGCTAACGAAGAGTCCTGTAGGACACGTCATCGCAGCCTGCACGCCAGGATTGGGAGGTGCGACCGTAAAAACAGTGAAAATCATTAATCTCTTTTTGTTTAACCTAATCCCCCATCCTGATCATGACTAGCTCCCTGCGTGTACACTTTATCCGCAATATACTCACTGAATAAACGTGCTCCGTGCTACACGTCTGTTTCCTTTGTAGCTGGGCTATAGCTTAGCTGGTTCTGGGAGTCTAGCTAGATGTAGGAGGATCTGCCATAGAGATTTCTGAGTCAGTCAGGCTTTACTAAGGTAGCAATCCGCTACAGTCCCAAAGTTAAGT